GGGAACCTGGAGACCTGGTGTGTTGGCTGGGAAAGTGTGGGGAAGGTGGAGATATGTATAGTAACCTGGTTGGGTGGTGGGTGATGCCTGCGGTGGGTATATGATAAGATAAATGAGTGTGAAAGATATAATTTGAAAGCCTCTAAGTTTAAGGGTAATATACGAAGGTCAGAAGACGATAGTTAAATTAGGAAGGTGAAGACGTGTTGGCCGAGACAGTTGAATGCTTAGTGCTGGGAGAGGGACACGTAACTCTCAAGAGGGTGTGAGACGTGAGGAAGATTCTGTATTTAGACGAGTGACAAGTGGCTGGTGGGCTTAGAAACGAGAGAAGCATATAGAAACGGGTGTGGAACTTCAGGATACCAGGCAAGGAAGAGGTCAGAGTGAGGAGGAGGATCACAAAAGGACAGATGGGGGTTATGGCTAGATGTCGTGAGGAAGGTTAATGTGGATTTCTTCTCAACCTTGGGGAGTGGTGGGTTCTTCTGAGGTCTGGTTGTGCCCCGTGGGAGGAGGAAGAGAAGGAAGCAGTCCAGTCCATTATGTTACGAAGCTGCCATGGGCGTGAGTTAGGGACGCGATAACCCCTCCCGTCCCCCCGCCCCCCTCAGTGATGTGAGGCTACTTACGGCACAACGAACTCTTCTATTGTTAGGCACCTCAGCTTATTTCACCTAACCTAACCAATGCACCATGTAGCGTTAGGGTGGTTAATCTTCAAGTGGAAAAAATTGGGGTGTCTAATCTTCAGGTGTGGTGAACCCCCCTTTTCTGTGTCGAGAACGAGTTCATTAGTGTGGGTGTGATGTGACGGACGTGGGTGAGAATATTGTTTTAAGGAATGGTGAATGAAGGAGTCGGTTGTCGTACAGTGCGAGAGTATTGCTGCAGGTGGCGGGCGTAGGATGAATGGCAGCGTTTGTCCAGTTATTTGTGAGTGAGTGAGGGACTTATGCCTCTTATCAACAATATGGTCACGGACTCACGATTCAGTGCAGTTTACTCATTATCTTTCTTTACATAATACACAGGGCAAGGTTTATGTTGTACTTGGTTGTTGATACAATTTTAAAGCGGTATTATTAATTTTATTTATATTTATGTACCTGAAAATGTAGTCCAGGATTATCTATGGTTCCTTCGGTGAATTTTCCTCATAACTGGGTGCCATAAATTAGAACTTAAAAAAATAACGTCCACAACAGTATGAAAATAACACTGATTGTGTATTAACGAGATACGTTCAGTAATCACTAGTTAGGGGAAAATATTGATAGGTCCACCTGAAGATTAAACACCCCAGCATATTTCATCTGATGGGTAAAATTAAACGCTAACCTACACATACACTGTGTATGTTTGTGAGTGGACAGTCACGCACCTACATCTATGTAGACCACGCCCTTCATCCATCCGTGTTACCGGAGTCGGTTATTTATTTGTTGAGGTTTATTCCTAGAGGCAGATGAGAGCATAGACAAGGGATTAGGATAGGTTTAGTTAGGTTAGGCTAGGCTAGGCTAGGCTAGGCTAGGCTAGGCTAGGCTAGGTTAGGTTAGGTTAAATAAAGTCTAGTTGAGTTGAATTAGGTGAGTGAGTTCAGGTTACGTTGGGTTAAATTTGGGCAGGTTAAATTAAGTTGGGTTGAGTAAGGCTAAGTTAGGCTTAGTTATAGGTTAGGTCGAGTTAGGGTTAGATGAGGTTAGGTTAGATGAGGTTAGGTTAGGTAGTTAGGTGGGGATAGGTTAGATTTTTGGCCTGGCAGGTGGTTGACCCCATCATCTCATTTACATACAATCTAAATGGCTTCGTTTGCCTCCGAAAGTCTCACCTGCAGTCTTATAAATACTGATTCCGCAGCCTCGATTTGGATCAGCCGTAAATTTCGATGACTGTCGACCATTGTGTTGGTGGTGGAGACGAAGGTGTGAGGGGTGACTGTGTTGGAGAACTGTTGTTGGTGATGGTGGTCAGGAGGATATACCAGGCCCAGGGGTGACTGTTGGAGACCCGTTGTTGGTAATGGTGTTGGAGACGAGGATACCAGGTCCACGGGTGGCTGTGTTGGAGAACTTTTGTTGGTGATGGTGGAAATCAGAAATTCAAAGAAAAAGTTATGTAAATTATTGTTGAAGAAGTTACTCAGAGCCGATACTTTTGAGGGTGATGGTGGAGAACAGTGAGTTATTCTTGGTGGTCGTGAAGGTGAAGGACAAGTTATGATTATAAATGGTGGTGAAGGTGAAGAAACAAGTTAGAATTATCCATGGTGGTGAAGGTGAAGAACTAGTGAATTAATGAGGTAAACAATACTACCGTCATCATTCACAGGCTCATCGTCAGAAGGATGTACACACAGAAGGCGCTGATGGGGTGGAGGGGTAATACGTCTTTAATTCTCTGGGGGCGAAACTTTATCACAAGACAGTCGGTAGAGAGGGATGAAGTGTTCAAGTTACAACGAGGAATTGGTGTTTGCGGACAATGTTTCTTTTTTTCCGACAGAATTAGAGAAAGAATGCTTGATCATTACCCAGTGCTAAACGTTGACCTTGGATGATTTCTCACACACACACACACACACACACCCTGAGTTGTTGTTTTCCCCTGAAAGGATCGAATTTCAAGATCTACTTGTTGATAACGGGTTCAGAGATGCCAATTTTTTGTTACATTCAATTTTCAGTGGATTATCTTCTCTCCAATCTGCCGTGAGGTGGTCCGCTCTGGTTGGCGTTTACGTGTGGGTGGGTGGGTAGGTTGTGGGGGTGAAGAGATGGGTGGGGGTGAAGGGAGTTGTGGGGGTGGTTGGGTAGGTTGTGGGGGTGAAGGGAGTTGTGGAGGTGGTTGGGTAGGTTGTGAGGGTGTTGGTGTAAAGATATTTAGGTTGGTGGTAGTTGTTGAGAAGGTATAAATGGTGGTGGTGATGGGCTGGAGTGGATGGTGGCGATTGTGAGTGAAACAATAGGTGGTGTTCATGGTGGTAAGTAAGAGACAAGTTGGTGGTATGGCGTTGGTGGTGGTAATGACGGTGGTGGATGCCGGTTGTGGTGATGGTGGTGTATTGGGTGAGGTAGTATAATGGGTTGTAGTGAACTGTGGTGCTTCAGTTGATGGTGGTGATAGTGATGGCTCAGAGAGAGAAAAGGCGATGTTAGTAGTGAGTACGGGGCGGTGGTGGTGGTAATTGTAATAGTAGTAGTAGCAGTAGTAGTAGTAGTAAGAACGGGGCAGTGTTGGTGTTAAATGAGAACAAAATGGATGGTATCAAATGTGTGGGAGAGGTGGATGGGAGGGGGAGGCGTCGCAGGGGAAGGTGAGATAAGATGATTGGGATGGATGGGAGGTACAAATGGAAGGGGTTGGGTAGAGGGGGGGGGTTGATTGTGGTGTAAGGAAGGAGAGATGTTGGTTGTGGTGGTAGAGGGTGGGGCGGATGGGCGGGCGGGGGTGAATACAGAGTGGGTAGATGGGTGTGGTGGAGATAAGTTTGGGCGAGAATATGATTTATACGGTCTTGGTCATCCCACCCCACCCCACCCCACCCAGGTGAAAGATACCCCTTTACCAAAACCACAGCCGAGATACATAGAGACCTGAGAATAAAACCCATCAACCAGCAGCTGCATACCCTGGCCAGCAGAGTCTGGCAAAAGATAGAACGATCAAAGCAAGAACTCCTTCAAAGACTCCCACCAGATAACGACAACAACCATACATGGTTCCCAAAAAGTTACCAAATATCAAAAGGTCCCTTACCACCCTGATCTACACGCCCAGGCAATAGACAACTTCCCTAGACCAGCATCCGCCAGTACGGTCTCGGAATATGAAATAAGGCCCTCAAAACACCCGTATATGGGACAGGGTAGGATGTCTAGTGCCTGTACCGACAGACAATAACTAACCCATGACACAACCCTAACATTATTAGCTTAGCTCGGCGGTCAGCCCTCCCTCTCTTGCCTCCTCCTAAATTTCTTCAATTTCCGAACTATAACTTCCTTCCCCCACCTCTAATCTTCTTTCACCCCTCATTTCTCTACAAAAAAAAAAAACCAACCTACTGTCCATAGCAGAGTCGTGCTGGAGGTGTACTGCCGACTGTTCCTACGACCAAATCACGCATAACGTAACCTAACTTCTTCTAATCTAATACTATTTAACCTAACCTATTGTAACATAACATAACATAACAACAGAAAATTTTGATGATCAAACTACAGTAAACAGAGATCATTTAATATATTCACTGACCAAGATTAGGATCGAATTGTCGTGGTGTACAGGACCTCCTCCCCGGAATTTAATTTTATTTAATTTTTTTCCCTAATGAAAGTTGTTACATTGTCTTTATCTATATATTTATTATTATTATTATTATTATTATTATTATTATTATTATTATTATTATTATTGTTGTTGTTTTTGTTGCATACTCGTTCGTTTGTTTGTTTGTTCTGTAGACATCTTATACATTTCGATTAAACGGCTCTGGGTGGCCACCAAACCTTCCACAAGACCCTCAGGCTTTGGCCTTTTAAACAACTGTTCTCCCCTCCCCTTTTCTCCCCCCCCTTTCCCCCTTTCCCCTCTCCCTTCCCCTTTTCCCTCTCTAACCCCCCTTTCCGCTCTAACTAAAAATCCTGGATACTCCCTCACTCTCTTGCCTTCCAATCTTTATTTATTGAGAAAAGATAAAACGAATTACTTTGGATTCTCTCTTGTATTTCGTTGACCCAGCAGAATATCAGTGGCGCGCCTCTATTGGTGGTTCTGGTAGTTGATAAGTTTAGTAACGTCTACTAAAATCACTTAAAAAATATCTTACTAATACCTCAAGTTTTTCACATTCGATATCTTGGTTCTAATACTGTATACAGTATATCGCATTACCCACAGGACTATTGTGCCATTGAAACACGTGCACTGCTGTGTCACCATAAAAGCTCTACCCTGTTGCATTTTTTACAATGGAAAATTATCTTCATTTACAGATCATATATTTTATAAACAATTAAACTAAAAAGTGGCCAAGAACCGGCTCACATGAATGTGATTCAGACTGAAATAAAACAGTGAAACAGGAGTCGAAGCGCCGGATACGGCGGACACAATATCTATGACAATTAGCACTATGAGTGAATGGTGTTGGTGGTGGAAGTGGCGGTGTGTGGTGGTGTTGGGGTTGTTGGTGCTGGTGGTGGGGGTGCTGACTCCCCCAGTCGACGCCAACACAGAAGACGATAATTCAAGAAACTACCGTCGTCGCCAGCAAGTTCCCCGACACAACAGGAGAAACGTGGTGGTGGGCAGAGGGTGAGTGTCAGCTCTTGCCGTTTTCTCCATTGTTTATATTTTAGGGTTATGGTAACACCTGGCACGTGTTTATAAAGTCACTTGATGTTTGTGTTTACAGTCCCGGGAGGAAATAACACATCCAATACATCATAATGTACTCAAATTTTCTGTTGTTCTCTTTCTTCACCATCAACAACTTGAGGTGACCCGCTGCACTCTCAAGATGCGTACTGTTATACGGGTAATATTTGACATTTATTCCAAGGAAAATGTTACAGCAGTTAGGGCGAAGAAAAGAGTTGTGTTAAAAAGAGTTCATGCCGATATTTTGAATGTCTTACTTCGAGGGCTTGTAAACACCAACGTCACGGAACATCAGTAAACAACCTATTAGAACCAGGTAAGTCATCGTCAAAACTTAATTGATTTTTTTTTTAACTTGAAAATAGTGGAGTAACTTTAGCACAGAAAGCTTTAGAAATTCTGAGCTCTAAACTTTTTACAATTACTTTGATGTTATATAGTGACTACAGTATATTATTTTTATTACGTAATGGGTAAGGAATGGAACCCCACCCTATTTCCCATTATTTTATGGCGCTTTTCTCTTTATTTTTGACGTATTTTTACATTTGTCTTTATTTGTATCTTAGTCAGAAAATACATAATGAGCTTGAACTTAGGAAAATGAACTATTAACCCCTTCAGAACGATGAATTAATCCCATGAGTACGATAACTTAGCTCCTTGAGTACGATTAAAATTTTTCGAGTACGATGACGTATACCCTTTGGCTGCGGGAGTTTACCCTAAGCTGAATAAAATCGTCTGGCGGTAGCCAGAATAAAATGGCAAGTGCGGGAATTGCAGGGAACGGGTTAAGATCACAGTTTGCTGAAGGGGCCATACACCAACGTACTAAAGGAGTTAAGGCATCGTACTGAAGGGGTTAAAAGTTACCCATGTGAAGCGATACCGTCAAATCAATAAAATGGTAGACGACATTAACTTAACCTAACGATCTTCCATTGTTCGGTTAATTTAATTTTGGTTGGTTGGTGTCGGCATTAATATGAAAACCGATCGAATCTCAAGTACAGAAAAATAATAACTGAACAGGTGTCACTAATATATTCACTTATTAATTCATCAGTTAAGTGTGTGTGTGTTTGTTTGTGTTCGTCCGTCCGTCCGCCCCCAGCCTGGCAGACAGCGGCTCACAAGACAATCTGATTATTCACAATTTCGTTCCTAAGATGGTCTCATTATCGAGGGTGACGAAGCCTTGTGTGATGTGGTAGTGTGTGTAGCGGTGTATGCTGCGGTCGTGTATGCTGTGGTCGTATATGCTGTGATCTTAATGCTGTGGTCACGTATGCTGTGGTCGTGTATGCTGTGGTCGTGTATGCTGTGGTCGTGTAAGCTGTGGTCGTGTATGCTGTGGTCGTATAAGATGTGGTCGTGTATGTTGTGGTCGTGTATGCTGTGATCTTAATGCTGTGGTCACGTATGCTGTGGTCGTGTATGTTGTGGTCGTGTATGCTGTGATCTTAATGCTGTGGTCACGTATGCTGTGGTCGTGTATGTTGTGGTCATGTATGCTGTGGTCGTATAAGATGTGGTCGTGTATGTTCTGGTCGTGTATGCTGTAATCTTAATGCTGTGGTCACGTATGCTGTGGTCGTGTTTGCTGTTAATTGCACAAGACCCCTAAAATGCATCCGGTCAATTGGATCAACACTTATCACTCGTTGTAAAGGAGGTGAGAAACGAAGATCTAATTTCGCCTGTTGCTAATTGCCTTGCCACTTTTGGTCAGGTTAATATGGACTTAGTAGACATGGGTTACGAGGTTGGACTTGGTTTAGTTAGGCCAGAGCGGTCGGGCTGTAGTTAGGTTAGGTTAGGGTGTTGGACTTCCACGGTTAGACTTAGTAGGGCTTGACAAATGTTCCATAAATAACTAGATGGAATCCCTTAAAATAAAATTCATACTCACGTGTATAAATCTACTTAGGAAAAATAGTCTAATCTCCATAGTTAAATATATCCCGTGTTATTTAACCTCTATTGAAGTTACATACCGAAGTCCTCCGCTTGAGTGAATCTGTGTTGTAAATGAACCGTAGCCCGTATCTTATTATCACACACACACACACACACACACACACACACACACACACACACACACACATACTTATCACCGCCGCGACCTAATACAAAAAGGTGAGATGGGTGTTAAATGCCGCCCTTAGATACAATGACTTAAATCTCTCCTTGAATACGATGACCTAACCATTTGAAAACGACGAGTTAACCCATTCAGTACTTGAGGGGTTATGTCATCGTACTCAAGGGGTAATGTCATCGTACTCAAGGGGTTATGTCATCGTACTCAAGGGGTTAAACAGCCAGGCAGACAAGAGAACAAAGACAGCCGTGTCAGAGTAAACAATGAGCTTTACCTCCGTCTTGTCCTTGTTGCTCTGCCTTCATTATGCGCTGGACCACCACCCAGACAATGCTACGGTGAGGAGGTTCCCGGCCTCCAGCGGCGTCTGGCCTCGTAACATCCACGTAGCGGGACTATAACAATGGCCGATAGAACTGGCAAAGGGTCGCTGGGATTGGCTTTTGAGGCCGTTTGTAATGGTCGAGAGCTCAAAGACTCTACTCTTGAGATCTCCTTCAGTTGGTAGTGGTCAGAAATCGTGTTTTAAAGGTTCCTGGGTGAGCCCCCCCCCCCCTTCTCCCCCCTGACTCGAACCCCGTGTACTGTGAGTTTCCATGGAAGAAGGGAACCCGAGGAACACCCTAAAGCTGTCTATAATAAGACGGCTGGAAACAAACATTTGATTCTACCTGTAATAAGGACGACGACCATCTGTCATCAGGAGGACAACCACTTGTAATAAGGAGGTCGACCACTTGTAATAAGGAGGTCGACCAGCTGTGATATGGAGGACGATCAATTGTAATAAATAGGACGAAATTTTTTAATAAATAGGACTGCCACTTGTAATAAACGACCTCTTGAAATAAGAAAGACTACCGTTTCTGATAAGGACGACGACCATATGTTAATAAGGAATACGACCACCTAAAGGCATAGCAGCGTCCTCTCGTTAGTGACAAAGAACTACTGTGAAGATTATATGAAGAAAAAAAAATAACCTGACGCCAAAATGACAGTACAGTTTTCAGTGTAGAGCAAGGCACTCTGGAGGGGACAACCTGTGATCACTCAAACTGTGTAACAAGAGGAACACGGCTGGGCTAATACTGGTAGACAATAGATAAGTCTGTTGTTTAGTGAAGTGTGAAGTGGGCTGTAGGTCAGACTCCCATTTTAATTTAAGAGTTGCGTAACGCGGCATGCAGGGAGTAAGTGATTTTTGGTCGTGGAATGTTGGCTGAGCAGCGCGTGAGGATGAAGGTGAAAGAAAGTGATGGGGTAGAGTCTCAATGTGTTCATGAGCCTCACACAACCACACACACTTTCCTGCGTGAGGGAATGTGAGGAAAAAAAAAAAGATTTTACTAGCTGGCCAGGGTTTGTTTTTGACGAAGCAAGCTTAATCAGAACGGGTGCGGTCACAGAACATACGTCTATCCTTGGCCAAAATCAAATGCACATGCAAAAAGTCATGCACAGGGAGGCCCATTTTCATGTGGGGTCGTCCCCCTCCCCCCAATTTAGACCGTGAGCATTTTCAAGCTCTTTACATAGGCACACAAAATATCAGCTCTATCTTAGAAGCAGTGACCATGCATAGCTTAGAAACAGAAAAATAGGTGTTTTTTAATGTGTTCCATCTTTAAGGGTGAGACACCGACCACAGTGGAGGTAAACCCCCCAAAAATTCCATCCATAACACTTCTGGTGTAAATGCGCATATTTCTCCACGCTAAATGTACAGTTCTTTATCTTTAACACTGTATCCATGCATAGCGAACTACCACAAAAAGAAACAAACGTTGGTTTATAGCTTACATTAGATTTAGGTGTATCATCTGCCAGGGTTATTACCGTATTGTTACTCGTTAGCTAAATGTTTTCCTCGAGTATTTCAGGGCTTCAGAAGTTAAGGTCTTTTAAGCTCGTACATTTATATCATACAATATACAGCAACTTATAGAATTAAGAAATATACATCTGTTCTTATTAGTATAACTAGGATTTATTAGCTTAGTGTAGGAAAAATAAGATGAGAGTACTTTTGTGATTTGCATAAGAGTGAAGGTCGAACATAAATGAGTGGGGCCTTGTGATCCTCCTCAGTCAGACAGTGTGACGCACCTTCCCGCCACAAGGAATGTAAGGCAGCAGAGGACGTGCTGTGACATCACTAAGGCGCCTTGTTGACGTCTTGTCCATCTCTCTGGCATTTCCTCCATACTCTTATGGTCACACCTCGGTGCCTCTCATAAAACACCGTGTAATTCTAGACAAGTAGACCTGTGTTCATGTACACTAAACCACTCATGCTTACATTTATGCAGACATATGAATACTACGAAAAAACACACACACACACACACACGACTTTGAAGAAGGAAGTGTAGGGGGCGGAAATGTAGGTTCGTGACAAACATAACAGGTGGGTAGGGTGGGGTGGCGAGGTGGCAGCGTGGCCCCCGGGACACTGGCTGATGGATCTTCCTGTTGACGACTTTATAATGACACCGCCACTTGTGTACTCTGATGGATGTCTTCATCTCGTGTTCTTCCCTCTTGAGCTTACAAGTTTGAGGAAGGTGTACGGTACTTACTGCACGTCAGCCTGGAGTTTGAGGTTATTAGAAAGTTGATGCCACCTGTGTTAGCCTGGAGATTGAGGTTAGTAAGTCGATAATCAAAATTGTGTATTCGTTTACATGTAGAACAGATGTGTCGACCTCGTGAGAGCCTGTTTGAAACGTTGATTATTAACATACAAGAAAATGAATAGTTTTAGCGCATCATTATATCTGATTAAGTTACAGAAAAAGGTGTTATCCCATCATATATCGCTATG